GTATGACAATCTCTCCCTGATGCTGAAGAAGTACGAACATTGGGCTCATGTCATGTTTCCGAAGCTGAAGTTCGATGATATTATCAACAGATGTGAAGTACTGGGCGATAAACGGCCTATTAAGGTTTGCTTTCACCGTTACTTTCTCATAATTCTGACGTTTTAATTTCACAGTACCTTTCTAAAGGTCTACATGATGAAGTCTCGGCTCGGTATGCCACTCACCGACGAGGATTTTGCGCCCATTCGACGGAAAAAAGATGATGTATGGTTCTTGCTTGATAATGTTCACTCCAGAAATTCCTCTCCCAGACTTGTTTCTTAATGAAATTTCCATCTAGATTATACATACTGAAAATATCGAAGATGATGTCCCATCTGAAAGTGGTGAAAGTGAAGATGAAAACATCCATGGCTCTTCTGAGCGTGCACCCTTGAAAGGTACCAAAATGGTTTACTTTTGAACGCCCTATTTCGTTAGCAGTCGTTGCTTCACTTAGGTATTTCAGGCAAATCCAGTGGCGAGAACGGCGTCCAGAAATCATCATCGGCTTCAGCAACAACTGCCTTCACGAGTAATTCCGTTTCTAATGAAGTTGACATTGACTTGTTAGAGTCAGCAGAACTAGCAAGGAAAAAAGCAACTGCATTCACGAGTAATTCCGTTCCCAATGAAGTTGACATTGACTTGTTAGAGTCAGCAGAACTAGCAAGGAAAAAAGCCATGGAAGAAGAGCAAAGGAGACGTGACGAGGAGGAGCTTGCCCTGGCTGATGAAATAATGGAGGATTTTGATATGTATTGAAGGTTTGATCATATTGAATTCTAAATCAGGGTACTTCGTTTTGTGTGTTGTACTTCTTTTCATGTTCCTAGATACATAACTACATTTAAAAGTAACTATTGAATAAACAAAGGCAGCTATCTTTATCATTTCTACGTTAAGAAAGGAATTAATCTTATATTGGAAGCTCACAAGGTTGGCGATTTGTGGGCAAAACTATATTGGAAGCATTAATATTAATCTTGATCGAGTCGTCCAGGATCTCCGTACATCCTTGGACCATTGCTATTAATGCGCGCCATGTGCCCACCTCTCCGACGTGTCAGTCTGGATGAATGCCAACCTTACCACTTCAGGTTCAGGCTTTAACTTCCCATAGAACTTTGAATGGAGACCCAATTCTATCGATAAAAACTGTTCACATATGTGGTAATAAAAAATTCTGAATGAGCTTCCGAAGAACGTTACGATTGTTCAAAGTTTTTTTTGCTTAGTGTTTGGAGTGCCAATTGAAATACGTTCCCAATGACAT